ATTCCCAAGGAATCTACCCAAAAAAATGCCATGTAGGACTCCTGAGTTCTGCAAAGTTATGAGATGTAAGATCAATATACAGAAAGCATTTGTATTTGTACGCATCAGCAGTAAACATGTAAAAGCACAATACCCTTTACAATAGCTCAGTAAAAATAAAATGTAGTAAAACACATTCAAAACTGTTATTCTGAAAACTAACAAAAGAGAAGATCTAAATAAGTGGAGAGGCATCCCATACTGACCGTGTGACTTAAAAACGTCAGTTCTCTCCAACACGAAATACTCGTTCAACACAACGTCTGTCAAAATACTAGCAAGATTTTTATGGAGATACAGACAAGATTATACTTTAAAAAAATTTTTGAGACATGGTTTTGCTGTTGCCTAGGCAGAAGTACAGTTGGTGAAATCTTGACTCACTGCAGCCTCAGCCTCCCAGACTCAAGCGATTCTCTCACCTCAGCCTCCCAAGTAGCTGAGAATACAGGCTTGCCCAACCATGGCTGGCTAATCTTTTGGTTTTTTGGGTTTTTTTTTTAGAGATGGGTTTCGCCATATTGCCCAGGCTGCTCTTGAACTCTTGAGCTCGCCTCCCAAAGTGCTGGATTACAGGTGTTCATCGCCACGCTGGGCCTATTCTAAAATTTATATAGCAAAGCAAATTAACTAGAAGAGCTTAAACAATTCTGAAGAAAGAAAAATAAAGCGTGAGTAGTCACTCTCCATGACTTAAAGGCTTATGTAGTCACAGCAATCAAACAGCAGGGTGTTGGCTGAGGATGATTTGACCCACAGAGATGAATGGAACAGAATAGAAAACTCAGAAATAAAGCCATGCACTATAACCGGCTGATTTTTTTTACAAAGGTATAAAAGCAGTTTAATGAAGGAAGGACAGGGTTTTTCAACACATAGAGTCACAGTAATTAGACATCCATGGTTAAAAATGAACCTCTACCTGCACTTTACAGCTTATTCAAAAATTAACTCAAAATGAATCACAAATCTAAGTGTAAAATGTACAGTCATAAAAAATATTAGAAGATAACTTAGGAGAACAGTTTTAGGACCTAGGATTTTGTTGAGCATTTTTAGAATGACACCAAAAGCATAATCCCTAAAACAAAAACTGAATAAATTAGACTTAAAATGAAAATGCTTTGCTCTAAGAAAGATTCTGTAAGAGGATGAAAAGGCAAGCTACATACTGGGAAAAAATATGTTCTAACTACGTCTATGACAAAGGGCTCATATCTATAACTCTCAAAGCTCAACAACAAAAAACAATCCATTAGAAAATGAGCAAAAGACATAAATAGGTACCTCACCAAAGATAATGTGCAGATGGCCAATAAGCACATGAAAACATGTCCATCATCAGTAGCCATTAGGGAAAAACAAATTAAGAACAAAACGAGATATCGCTATACACTTATTAGAGCAGTTCAATAAAAAGTAATGACAACATCAAATGCTGATGAGGATGCAGAAGAATTGGATCTCTCCTACATTGCCGATGGGAATTTAAAATGGTACAGCCACTCCAGGAAACAGTTTGGCAGGCTTCTTAAAACTAAACACGCACTGAGCATCGAATCCAGCAGCTGCACTATTGAGTGTTTATTCCAGAGAAATGTAAACTCGTGTCCACACAGCAGTCTGCACGCTATTGTTTATAGCTGCTTTATTCATATAGTCAAAAACTGGAAATAACCAAAATGACCTCAGCAGGTGAACGGTTAAACAAACTGTGGTGCTTTCATATCACGGAATGATATTCAGGAATGGAAACCAACTATCGATACACACAACTTGAATGTATTTCAAGGACATTATCCTGTTTTTTAAGGCCAATCCAAAATATCATATGATATATAATTCCGTTTATATAACATTCTCAAAATGAACAGAATTATAGAGATGGAAACTGATTGATGGTTGTCAGAGTCACGCACCATAGTGGGAGGACATGGGCATAATTACAGAAGAGCAGCACTAGGGAGATCTTTGTGGGTGGAAGAGTTCTGTGTCTTGATTGTGATGTTGGTTACACAAATCTACTTAATAGACAAAATAACATACAACTACATGCACACGTTTTATCAAATTCAAATCTCTGACTTTTATATTGTCCTAAAAGAATGTAAGATGAAAACCATTAGAGAAACTGGGTAAAGGGTACTTTCTGTCAATCTATGATTATTTCTGTCAATCTATGATTATTTCAAAATAAAAAAGTTAAAAAATACAAAATTAAAGGGAAAGATAATTCCTAAAAACCTGCAGCAAAATGAAACTACATGTCAAATTGGTGTCACAACCACATGTAGAGATTATCTTAAGAAACTTTACAAGCAGTAACTTGATCGCATATCCTTAGAGAGATATATCCTAAAGATAAAAAGATTGCCCAAAAGAACATCTTCTGCTTTCTTCAATAATCATATGGTTAGTAATAGTGTCAATTTTCTGAGAATGTTCTGTATGTATTATGGAAAAAAGCAAGTGCACTATTGTATTAATGTCATTGGTAATTGATATTTTCAGCATGAAAGAAGAGAAACAGACATTTGAGATCAATAAGCCTGAATGAAAACCTGTGGTTCCAAATTTCAGCTGGAAATATTGGTATAAACTACATACACTTTATCCTTGACATTATGTCCAATAAAAAAGTACAGAAACAATGAGCAAACCAGTAGCAGTGATCAACTCTAGAACACAGAATACACTTCCTAAATACCTTTTCCCACACCAAGGAACTAAGACTCTTTGTAGAAGTGGAGCATAGTAGTATACATCATCTTAAATATATATCTTCACATGCATGATAAATATAAATACACATGGCAAAGCTGAAGTATCTTTACACCAGAGGCAAGGAAGCTATCAAGGACTATTGGTTCATGTCAAAAGGATTCAGAAGTGGCTCAGAATGGCCAGAAATAGAGTAATTTGATCCTTTGATGATGAGGAGGAGGATGAGGATGATTATTATTATTGCAATGGATTGAAACACATTAAAAATCTTTAGATCTATGAAATTGATGATAATAATAAACACTCATGGGTCATCTTTTATGGATGTTAAGAAAGCAGCTCATTATTTTTTTAAAGTGGTAAATTTGAAAAAGGAATTATGCATTTATTCACCTTCCCTATATAATCTTACCACAGATCATCAAATAATTGATCAAATGGAGTTCTTTTATAAACTTGCTCTAGCTATTAATGAAGAAAGAATGACAGAATTAGAATATCACCATTTTGTACCCCTTAATGGAATAATGAAGCAAAGGAATGATTGTGTATTATTCTTAGCAGATAGTTTGCAATAATGAAGCAAAGCAATAAAAGTAACAATTGGATAAAATAACACACCACCACCTGGGAAATGTTCTTGGCTGAAGGGTTTCTGAATTATTACAAGTATAAGGGACTGAAAAGTATCTTTACTTGAGAAAGCGATCAGCAAAATTCAGATTAAAGGAATCACTACCTGACAAATTCATCATTTATTAGCAACAAATAAATTATGAGGAGGAACGTAAGAATGTATGGGATAAAGAAATTTAGGAGACATGTGAACCAATTGCGATGTATAGACATTTTGGAATTTGGATTCAATCTGCAGAGACTATGGGATTATTTGCATGCTGACTGAATATTTTATATTACAGAGCATTACAAAATTGCTACAATTCTTAATGTAATAATGCTAGCATTGTTGCAGGGCAGGCAACCTCAAAACTTCCAGGCTTAGCCCAAAAGAATTCTTAGCTTTCTCCAGGAAACGGCCAGGCAGGGTGGTTCATGCCTATAATCCCAGCACTTTGGGAGTCTTAGGCAGGTGGATCACCTGAGATCAGGAGTTTGAGACCAGCCTAGTCAACATAGTGAAACCCCATCTCTACTAAAAATACAAAAATTATCCCGGCGTGGTGGCGGGCACCTGTTATAACAGCTACTTGGGAGGCTGAAGCAGGAGAATCGCTTGAACCCAGGAGGTGGAGATTGCAGTGAACCAAGATTGTACCACTGCACTCCAGCCTGGGTGACAGAGTGAGACTTTGTCACAAATTAAAAACAACAGAAAAGAACAAGCCAGTTGTGTGAGACAGTAATCTTTGATTGAAGACTGCTGCTCCGCGTGGAGCACGGCTGCCTCACCAGCAGTGCACCAAGGTTGGCAAGGTCTGGATTCCTGGCAACTGGATTTGTACTCAGACTCACTTTGTTACATGCAAATTAGGGGGTGGGTGAATGCAAATGACTGAGTAGGTTATTAACATTTTTCTAGGAAAGAGGGAATAACTTCCAGGTTATTGTCATGGAGAGGGTGGTAACTTCCAGGTTATTGTCATGGAGAGGGTGGTAACTTCCAGGTTGTTGCCATGACGTTTGTAAACTGTCATGGCCTAGTGGGAGTGCCTAATGACAATGAGCAATGAAAGCAGCTGGGGATCACTTTTGTTTTGTGAAGCAGCCACCTGCTGTTTCCTGTGGCTTTCTACACTTTATCCTGTCTGGACCACGTCCTGTTTAGCTCAGCAGTGTTGTGATCAGAAAACAAGCACTGCTGGCTTCCTAACCCAGTATAGTTATGAATTTTTAGAGAGCTCTCTTTTTTGGAGACATACTTTTAATTATTGATGGATGAAGTGATAGGATGTCTGCTATTTACTTCAAAAATGCAGAGGAAAGTGTGTATAGGGGGAGGTTAACCTCAAGGATTGACTGACCTCAAGTTATTGAGGATTGACCTCAAGTTATTGATTGTTGAAGCTTGCTCTGGATACATGAGGGCTCGTTATGCTAATTTTTCTACTTTTATATATTTTTTAAATTTTCCATGATGAAAAACATTAAAAATAACTCAAGTTCATTTTAAAACTATCTGCTAAGAATAATACACATGGTATCTAAGTTCATAGCAAAAATCAAGAAGGTGGGTTTAACACAACAGGTTTGGGAAACAACTATAAACACAGTCACGATATTATACTATGTTTATTGAACACTGTTTAACTCCTAAGGCAATTTGGAGGCAGAATTATTGTCTTTGCTCTGATTCATATTTATATAGCAATGATTCTTCCAAAGAGCTCATCTCATCAACCCTCTCCAGATTCCCACAAGGCAGGTAGACAATCTGATCTCCAGCCACGATAACTTAAAATTTCAGGCTCCATTAAGTTGCTGCTTTAAAATGCAGCCAGTGACTCTGTGTTCCAAACTTCTCATGAATCTGTAGACCATGGAAGATGTTGACTGATGAGACTTCTGAGGGTCTCAGCCCTAACTTGAAGCTCAGGAAATAGCAGCAGTGATTCAGCAGGACAACTGGGACGGCATGAAAACAATCACAAACAATACGCCTTATTTTTGCATCTGCCAACGTCTTTCAGAACTCAGGTCATGTGCCAGGGTGCTTAGCTCAGCTCGACTCTAGACAAAACAGTCCTCCAATCCCATTCATTATTTTCCAGCTCAATTTACCCCTTACTCCATGCCATTATCACCTATTTTTTAAAGACATCAAAATTACCTGCACTTTCACATAATTGTCACAGTGTTTCCAAAGATGTATCCACTTCTAGAGCCCAGTTTTCTCCAAATGCAGCAAGCTTACTGCAGGATACATTGTTGATAAACTTTGGTGCCAGTCTAAGAATACATTTTATTAATATTAATATGATAAATACCTTACTCATGTAGTGCACTTCATAACTTTCAAAGGACTTGTTCATTAAATAAGTTATATCAAACATGATTATTACTGTAATTATGATACACATACACAGAAATATGTAAGTATTACACACTATTCTTTAAAATATACACTGGACACTTGCTTTCCTATGCGAAAGAGTTTAAACAACCATCTCATGCACTGAAATTCATTTATCTACCATATCATTAACTCAGCATATACTCTATGCCAGAGGAAACAATGGTGATAGATTTACAAAGTCCCTGCTCTCGTACATCATGTATTTGGTAAAAAGAATAGAGACAATTATGTTAAACTCTATATTGGTAAAATACAATTTGACAGCCCTAAGTACGATCCTTAGTTCACAAACAAAAGTGTTTGAGAAACATCACACAGTTACATTACAATAAATGCAATCAATCTCTATTTGAGCCCTCACTCCTACCAGACAGGCAAAATTCATTGACCTCAGTCATATAAGGAGATTTTTCCCATCCCTCTGCAGGCTTATGTCCTAAAAGAATCTTTCAAGTTCAGGAAAATCCTTCCCCCTTCATATTTTTGCCTAAGCCACTTTGTCTATGCCATGGAACTCTCTCCAACATTTTTACTTCTTTTGAAAGCCGTCCATATTCATGTCAAGAGTTATGGTTTGGGAAAATAAAAGGCACAGGATCTTACGTTTCTGATTTTCACTATACCAAATAACGTCCCTCAGGCAACCAAGTACAGAGTGGCTGCCCACTTAACCTTAGAGAAACGGAGAAGAAAATAGTTGGAGAAAAAACTAATATTCGAAAGGGTATCCTTGCACATTCTCCAACTAGTAAAGTTTTGCCTCTTCATTAAGAAAAAATTACTTCTAATACGGATCTCCTCCCCAATAAAAGGGCTCTGAAAAAGATGTTTTAGCATAAGAGTTACACTGTCTTTATTTAAAATGTTGTATTTTGAAGATTATGGACTTTTTTTCCATTGATTGATTCTAAACATTACCTTGAAATAGGATTGGTCTTGATGCCTTAGTTCTGCCTGCTTTGTCTGCAGCTGTCCAGGGCAAAGCTTTGGACGATGCAAGACTTTTCCGTCCTGCGGAAATAGAGTCTGGGAAGCAGCTCAGAGCCAACACCAGTGAGCTGCGAATGACAGTCTATTTTCACTTCTGATAAACGGCTAACTCTCCAATTAACTTCTTCCAGAAAGTGTGTTTTTTCCTAACTAAGCTACCAGGACTTTCTGACAAGCAGTAAGAGTGTTAGACCTCTCAATTAAACTGCTCCGGGTCACTGTTACTTCAAGTTTACATTTAAAAGCCTTAGGGGGAAAAAATTATTCAAAAGGCAGTTCAGGCCATCAGATGTGTTCAAGACCAAGAGTTAACTGCATTTTAATCATTCAGGCAACTGCTTTTCACGTAAAAGCTTTTAAAACTTAGCAAATAAACAAAGGAATGGGTAATATTGTGCCTAAATAGATTTTGTTATTTTAATTATATTTTTATAGAAGGAATTTTTAAACTGTACACTCAAAGAAGAAATAATCTTAATGAAGCAAAGCTCTTTCTCCTAAAAGAGACTTTGGGGAGAACATTCTTAAAACTATAAATCCATCTTTCAGGGGTAGAAATATCCATAGCAGCAATAACATGTGTTTACACAATAAAATCAGGTTCAGAAATACAATAAATGATGCCGTGTTTCAGCTCAGAGATATTAGGGGATCAATCAAGACACCATGATACCGTATATTTTAAAATGCATTCGTTGCTTTGCCGGGAAGGATTTACGATAACCTACAAGGACACACAAAATCCAACCAGATAGTACAAGTCAAAACGGGAGACAAAAAGACAAAGAAAAACAGCTTTCCAGACACGAACGGAGCCAAGAAGGAAGGAAAAGTGTGTCATCAGAATACCTGATCATGAGCAGAACCACATCTCATGTACTCTGGCCTCATCACTGGCAGAAATGTGGAAACTGAAAGGGAAATTTAGAACAATCCTCTAGGGTTGTCTGTTACTAAATCCTTAAGGTGTAGAAATGGAAACCCAGATATATATCCAAAGGACTATAAATTGTTCTATTATAAGGACACATGCACACAAATGTTCATTCAGCACAGTTTACAATAGCAAAGACCTGGAACCAACCCAAATGCCCATCGATGATAGACTGGACAGGGAAAATGTGGCACATATACACCATGGAATACTATGCAGCCATCAAAAACGATGAGTTCATGTCTTTTGTAGGGACATGGATGAGCATGGAAATCATCATTCTCAGCAAACTGACACAAGAACAGAAAATCAAACAGCACGTGTTCTCACTCATAGGCGGGTGATGAACAATGAGAACACATGGACACAGGGCGGGGAGCATCACACACTGGGGTCTGTTGGGGGGGAATAGGGGAGGGACAGCGGGGGGTGGGGAGTTGGGGAGAGATAGCCTGGGGAGAAATGCCAGATATATAGGTGAAGGGGAGGAAGGCAGCAAATCACACTGCCATGTGTGTACCTATGCAACTATCTTGCATGTTCTTCACATGTACCCCAAAACCTAAAATGCAATAAAAATAAATAAAAAAGAAATGGAAACACAGAGACAGGCACCGTGTCCCCGGCTGGGTGGAAAGTGGATCTTTCCTTCACCTTCTTTCTGCTTTTGCTGGTTTAACACCAGACCTCACCTCTCTGTCTCCTTTTGGGTAAAATCTCAATGGAAAACCAGTGCAGAGAAATAAGAAGATGGAGACTTCAAGGCAGTATACGGATAGGTAGTGACAGAAGCTGGTTAATCATCAATTAATAAGGCCAGGCACGGTGGCTCACACCTATAATCCCAGCACTTTGGGAGGCTGAGGCAGGTGGATCACTTGAGGTCTGAGACAAGCCTGGCCGATGTGGCAAAACCCTGTCTCTACTAAAATACAATAACAGCTGTGTGTGGTGGCAGGCACCTTTAATCCCAGCTGCTCAGGAGGTGGAGACAGGAGAATCGCTTGAACCCGGGAGGCAGAGGTTGCAGTGAGCCAAGATCATACCATTGCACTCCAGCCTGGGCGATAAGAGCAAAACTCCATCTCAAAAACAAAAACAAACAAAATAATAATAATAATCAATTAATCAGCAAACACGTTAAGTACTGATTACTCACCAGTCACCGTGCTAGTCATTGGCAGGATGGGGAAAGCAACACAAAGGGGTGTCAACGAGATGTGACCATAGGTGTCAGCTGTTGTTCACTGCTGATTCCTACATCATCGAAAGACAGATTTTTTCTGAATCTTTATGGATCTATTGGTGATTTTTAAGGGCTGTCATATTTTTCTTCTATGATCCTAGAAAGAAAATTACATTCTCAATGGAGCATTAAAACGTTACAGTTGCAGGTCTCATGTTCCTCGCACATTTAGTAAGAGATGCATGCTGAATATGAAGGAGGAAGGCGGACGTTATCATAATGTAATACCGAAACTGAGCACCTGGCTGTACCGTGTAATCCTCATCAGAAGGGGGTAGATGATGATATGTTTTTTGAAGTTTCTTACTTTTTCCTTTTAGAACATACTCAAGTAAAAATGAGGTAGACAAGACCATATATTATTTTGTCTGTTTATGGAAGGAGCAACTAGCCAGAAAAATAATCCCACTGTTGCCATGTGATCACAAATTATGGGGCCATTCCACCTGAAACCTCCTTCACTCAAAAATTAGAGTTTATATGTGGCAATAAACTGAGAAACCTGTCATATCAGTTGGATGAAGAAGACATCACAAAATCTAAGACACCAGAAGGCACGTGACAAGGAGTAAGTGCCTCGGTTCACTTTGCCTCAGTCACAGGAAGGTGATACTCTCTCCAGAACCTCCCATTAGAGATCAGATAACTTCATCTGAAAGACACACCTGCAGCTTTATTTTTCTTTAATGTACTTTTGGGAAAGTGACGAAATGAAAAAGACACGGTGGTAAGTTTGTCTTCCACAGAACTGACCTGCTTAATTAAATGGTGTTACCTCCAAAGTGGAAGCGGTATCTTTAAGAAACTTATTTGTTATGGAATTCTCATTTAAACACCTACTGGCTCCAAATAAGAAGGAAAGGGCCAAGCACAGTGGCTCGCACCTATAATCTCAGCACCTTAGGAGGCCAAGTGGGAGGATCACTTGAGGCCCAGGGTTTGAGACCAGGCTGGGCAACATAGTGAGACCTCGTCTCTACCAAATAAATAAAATAATAAAATAAAGGGTGGGTGTTACTGTTGAGGCTACAATCATGAGCCATGTGAACAGTGCTCCTTGGAGGCACTCAGAGAAGTGCGATAGGCTCCCTGCTGTGGTGTTGCTATTACATGACTCATGCATGACTCATGATACTTCCTCATGCCCTGTTGGTACCATATGACTCCCATATCCTCTGCCAATGATGAGGGCCTGTGGGTGAGGGCAAAAACCGTGAGCATCACCATATGGCACAGCAATAGAACGCGGACTGAGAACTGCTGGGGCCACCTTCCACCCATCCCATCAACTAAGGACAAGCGGAGGTCACCTACAGAGTGAGAACCCTGAAAAAGAAATAGAAAGAGAAGTAGGGAAAACAGGAGGGAGGGCCCCACGATTACCAGCAGCCTCCCAACGCCCTGCCTCAGTCTTTCCTGAGGCCCAGCTGTCCACTGCCCTCAGGTCTGTAAGACACACCCACATCTTACAGTCGATTCCCAGCTGACACTTAAAACGGGTTTAAGCAACCAACTCCATTCACGCAGTGAAAAGTAAATTCTTCAGCCCTTGTCAACTTCAACCTGTTATGATGTCACCATCTCTTCTCCCTTCTTCCTTTTTCCCTGAGGGGAGTGCGCTTGACATTGGCATTTTCTATCGCCTGGTCTCAGCTCGTGATACTGCCTGCCCGACAGAATATATGACACTGTTTCCCTTGGTGCTGTCGGCTGGCTGCCCGGTTTAGGCTTTATTTCCTAGTGGCTAGTTGTCTGCATCAGTAAGTAAGAGTTAACTCACTTTTATTTTGAGCGTTTACTGTATTCGGCATCCTGTTCCAAGTAATGTATAATTATTAATTAATTCAGTTAGTCTTCACAATAACCCTATTGGGTAGGTACCAGAATACCCCCATTTAACAGCTGCGGAAAGTGAGGAAGTGAGCAGTCGAGCCATTTTCCCAACCTCATACCACCAGTAGGTAATGGAATAAGTATTTGATTCCAGGCGGTCTGGCTCCAGAGCCTTAGCACACAACCGCCAGCCAGCAAGGCCTCCTCCACAGGTTCAAATCCATCCGTGCACACTCACACACACACAATCCACACACACAAATATATAAAGACTGACACACATGTGATCACACACAAATACATACACAGAGGCACATGTAATCACAAACAAAAATATACAAATACACATACATGCCATCACACACAAATATACAAGCACATGAATGCAATAACTCAAATATACAAATACATACACACAAATATACACATGCACATACATACACATAGAACAATCACACACACATAGAAACACACACGTGCCTATACACAAATATGTGTGTATGCAATCATGCAAATATGCAATCACATACACAAATATACATACACATACAATCTTACACACAAATATACACACACACGTGCACATACACACAACTATATGTGTGTATGCAATCACACATGCAAATATACAAACACACACACATGCAATTACACACAGAAATATAAAAACACACACATACACTCACACACAAATATACACACACATGCAATTACACACAGAAATATACAAACACACACATGCAATTACACACAAATATACACACACACATGCAATTACACACAGAAATATACAAATACACACATGCAATCACACATCCAAATATACACACATGCAATCACACACACAAATATACACACACATGCAATCACACACACAAATATACACACACATGCAATCACACACAAAT